ATACCTTCAATATGTATCCATGTGGGTTCTTGCTAAAATGAATTGTGGGAGTGGGAACAGTAAGATTCCTTCCCTTGATGTCAGCCCTTCAAGATGGGTCAGTCAGGAAGCAGATACCACAAGATATACAAGCCATGCAGTGGCTCTCCTTTGTTTCTTTCACACTAAAGGATATATAAGACAGGGCTGTCTTGAGGGCTAAATTCAAGTATTCCTAACTGTTGCTATGTGAGAGGGGGTTTTTTGTGATTCTTGGACACAGCACAGCTTAGCTGAAATTTTTTCACAATTCTATATTTGAGCACAGACATTCCCTAATGATAAGCAGTTACCCTGTTAGGAGTTGGCTTAGCCACCCGAAGAAGACTTTTGGGCTCAGTCTCTGCAGATGTCCAAGTCTTAAAGTTTGTAAAGTGGCATACAGGACTGCCTCCCCGCAACGGTTCTTGCCCTGGTTGGGGAATCTCTGCTGCCTCGGTGTGGGGGCAAAACAAAGTGGTTGCCAAGCTCCAGGCTGAACTCCAAGCTCTGCTCTGAAGTGATCTTGCTACTGAGCAGCCAAGTTGAGCTCCCAAGCCAAGCTTCAGAAAGGGATCAAGCCAAGATGGGCTGCTTAGTGTGGCTTGTGATCTTGGCAGTTGCATAACAGGCCTCTGGCTCGCCTCTAGCTAATGCACTTGTTGAAACATCACTCCAGGCTTCCATGTCGGCTGGCCATCTCCTCCTCTTCCCTCCTTCTCCCACTCACCCACACAACATCTGGCCTGGCTTTCCGTTTTCTAGGTTCAGGTGGGTGTTTGTTTGTGTGTGTGTGTGTAGGTGTGCTTACCTGGCTGCCTCTGGATATCAGTACATCCTTGAAAAAGCTAGCATGTAGCTAAATGAGCCACTTGAGGGCACTGTTATGCCCACCAAATAGCTACAGCTGGCTCACTGGGATGCTGGGATGGACGCCTTGGGTGAATCTGTGACCGTCATTTGCATCTCTTTCAGCTGGCTGGGGAGTGCTTGTGTGCTTCTCCTCACAGATTTCCTGTTAGAACCACAACTGGGAAATCCTCATATCCCTTTTTCAGGGGTGAAATAAGGTGAACCTAATCTTAGGAACTATACTGGTATGAGGGAATGACCTTGGGAGACAGAAGGAAGAGCTGCAGACTAGACAACCATCAGAGAAGCAGCAGCTGCACCCACAGAAGGAATGGGGGAGTGGCAAACGTCTCAGAAATCGCCCTCCCTAGTTTCCTGGAGTGTAAAGGTGAGAGGGGAGAGATGTCCTTTCATACTTGTAAGATTCTATTCATGTAACCTTACAAAAAAGTTAGAGTTAGTACATCTGGGTGTGCTTCTTGTCTGGACTACCTCGCAAGACTGATAGGAAGTGGGGAGGTGGTTGTTCTTTCTGCCTGGCTGAAGACATTCCATTCAGCATTTTCAGGACAGCCTTTTCCATGGGCAGAAGGCAGTTTCAAATGCATTTCTCTCCCCCTCACATACCACATATTTTTGTCAAGGCCATGTCCATATTCCTCTACATCCACCCTGTCCTGGTAGAGATATCTCTTCCTGGTACACTTTCCTTCATCTTCTTCAGATAAGTTCCATGTAACCCACTCTGTGTTGTTCTTGTTAATTTGATAACCTGATATAGAACCATGTAGCTGTATTTATTTCATTACTGATTAAAAAGCATACTTTGGATTTGAGAACACATATAAAGGATTTTAATTCTAAGTGACAATATTTTAAATTACCAGTAAAATATAGAAAAAACAAAGGATTCCAAAATTAAGAGGCCACATCAGTTTTCATCATCAGATGCTCCTTTGTGTTCAGGCGAGGTTTCAGGATAATGATGTAGCATTTGGGGATGAAAACACAGCCCAGTAAGCCCAGGCTGGAGGCCAGGATGGAGAAGACCTGCACAGCCACCATGTATTTCCCTTTGGTGCTCAGGTAGGTAGGGACAAAGGGGATCCAAACGCTGCAGAAAACCAGCATGCTGAAGGTGATCAACTTGGCTTCATTGAAAGTCGCTGGCAGTTTGCGGGCTAGAAAAGCCACCAAGAAACAGATGGCAGCCAGAAAGCCCATGTAGCTGAGGGCAGTGTAGAACATAGTGACTGAGCCTTCATTACACTCCAACAGGATCTGTCCTGGTTGGGAATGCAGGTCAGAAGTTGGGAATGGGGGAGAGATTCCCAGCCATATGGTACAGATGGCAGCCTGAACTCCAGAGCAGGATAAGACAATGGAATTCGCCAGACTCTTACCCACCCATTTCCTCATTGTGCTGCCTGGCTTTGTGGCCAGAAATGACACCACTACCATGATGGTCTTGGCCAGCAAGGAAGACACGGCAACTGAGAAAACAACACTGAAGGTGGTTTGTCGAAGAAGGCAGGTCACTTTCTTGGGGTGACCAATAAATAGAAATGAAGATAAAAAAGAAAGCTGGAGGGCAATCAGGAGAATGTAGGTGAGGTCCCGGTTGTTGGCTTTGGCTATGGGAGTTTCTCGGTATTTGATGAAGATTCCTAGAATAAAGCCAGTGATCAGAAACAGTAAAAAAGCAATGAGAGACAGGATGAGACCCAACGTCTCTTGATAGGACAGGCAGCTTATAACTTTGGGGACACATTGATCTCGCTTCTTATTGGAATGCTGGTCATCGGGACACTTTTCACAATGGGCTGCATCTGAAAAACAGAAATCATTGCTGTCTAACTCATGAATTGGGTGGCATTGACTCTTCAGCATCTCCTCACCAAATGACCAAAAGGATCAGCAGAGTGGAGATAGAGCATTAAGGATTTAATCTGGGTTCCTTCTTTGTCACCCTGATGGCTCTTGATCTAAAAGACTGCTAAACTCAGATTGCTTTTTCTGCTTTTCTTCTCAGCACAGAGAGATGGGTCATGTGCTTTAAGTCTCTGTTAGCTGATAGTTAGTTAGGTGCTGGGTTTTGCTTATTCCTCTAATGTATGTGCTCTAAATAAATCTCCTTTCTGTTGTAAAACTTGTGTCACTAATCCCAACAGAAAGGAGATTATCATATCTCAGGGGAACCCACGTTTGTACTTGGATGGAGCGTCTTCTTTGCTCTTGAGCCACCAACCTTCCTGCATAGAGATGGTTCCTTCCATACATGGAGAACAGTCATAGCAGCAAATTGGTGCTCCCTCTCTGGTGAGCTTGGCGTGTCCTGGGAGGCAACTTTTAGTACACCTAGAAAAAGGCACCTTCTAAACAGGAAGAAAATGGGGAGAAATATGTGAATTAGTGGGATTACATATCTGAGTGGAAATGAGTTACAGTGTGGGTTGATGAACTGGGCTTAACCATGGTTTGTTTCAATCATGGGATTTTGAACATGACAAATATGTGTTTTGCACACTGTGCAGAGTTAGGAACCACCTTTATACATCATAATTGTTCACCCAGAGCATTGAACTGAATCCAACCAAATCTCACAATGCCTTAATAAATAGACTCCACCACTGAGTTGGAGTTATCTTCCAGGGATCCTTGGCTCTTTCAAAGAGCAGGATTGGCTATGAGCAAAAGGTGAGGTTGCCCTGAAATTGATTCTTGACAGTAGCAATGTTTGAAGATCTTCCAAGACTTTAAACTTCTTAACTCAAAGTCACAAAGGATTTCTCCTTGTGAAATGTCCTAAGTCTGCACGCTAATTGTGCTCAGTTCATAAAATTCAAGAATATACTTTTAAGGTCTTTCCAAATATAGTGGAAATATGTTTTCCAAAACCTCGTTTTCAACATCACCCTTTTCTCCAGAGACCCAAGATGCAGTACCATTTCAGCAGGATTTTTTCCCACAATTCCCTCAATATTAAAGAGAGGAGGATGGCCCTTCTGGCTAGGATCCTTAGCCATCTGCTCTTCCTATTCTAAGGAGAGGCAACATGGGACTTCTGGTGGGGAAAATGGCAGACTAATGCATCTCTGAAAGTGCGGAGTTGATGCTTAGGATGGAATTGTGACAGGGGTGGTGCCTGATTTTGCAGAGGTTCTCTGGAGAAAGGAGAAGTCAAAGAGATCTCCAATGTGTGTTCTGGATAGCCACTCCTCATGAGGAAGCCTGCAGGATCCAAAACAAGTCTGCAGGCACCTCGTGAGTAAGAGCAGCTGTGAGCTGAGGAAGGAGGATCAAGCTTGCAGCGTCAACGGAGCCTTTCAAAGGATACTTGGTCTGACCAAATCCCACTTCTCAAAATTCTTTGGAATATAACTAGTTACATGCTAAAGAGATCTTCAGAGCACCAGTTTATTAAGAGTATCTGGTGAGTGTTCCCAAGGCCTGTACTGAATTTAACAGAAAAAGAATAAGGACTTTAAGAAATAAATAAATTACTTGCAGCAAAAAGCACAGTAAGAATTTGGATTACAAAAGTTTCAAATGGATAAAGGGTCCAGGGGAGCTTTTTGGACTTTGTTTATTTTAAGATATGCTACTACGGGAAAATGGAGAGCTTAAAATATATGATTGGTAAAATGTATAAACCTCTGCTGAGATTTGAAACAGAAGAAGAGCAAGTGAAAGAAAGTATGATAAGAAGATATGACCAAGAACATTGGTTATAATGCTTAAATTGGTCATTTGGAGACAATGCAGTTAAAAGGTTTGAAATTCACCTTGTTTTACAATTTAAAAGAGAACTTTTATAAAATGATGTACCGTTGATATATGACACCGGATAAATTGTCTAAGATGTATAAAGGTACTTTTAATCACTGTTGGGAAAGTGAAAAACAGGAAAGAACATTTTACTGTGCATGGTGGACTTGTGAAAAAGAAAAACATGTTGGATTCAAATTGATATGGTGATGCAGAGAGTTTAAAAAATAAATATTGAATTGAAACCAGAATTTTTCTTATTAGGATTTATGGACAATCAACTAGAAAAAGCTCATGGATGATTGGTTATATATGATAACTGCAGTGAAGTTATTATATGCCCAAAGATGGAAGAATACCCATAATGGACAAATGGATTGTGAAGATGTCAGAGCTTGTGGAAATGGCTAAATTAATTTGTGTGATTAAGGATGGAAGAGTAATTAATTTTATAAAAAACCGGAAATCCTTGATGGACTTTTTGCTGAATGGATAAAAATGAGAGGAGGACCAAGAGGGCAAAGAGGGTCTACATGCTCTTAAAATCCTTCTTTGTTTTACTTTATTTTACTTTATTTTACCTTGCCTTTATTTTTATATTTTATAATTTTTTTTTTACTAAAGACAGTAGGACACACTGTACCAGTTTATTTTAATAGGGAACACTTTTAAATACTTTGTGGAACAAGAAAGAGAATTGGGAAAAGAAAGAAGTGACATAGGATGAATTCGGGAACAATTCAAAGCCTTCAAAGCAACCGAAAATTGCTGACTATTTAGCTATGTAGAACAACATACTAGTAAGTAAATCTAATAATAACAGTAATGGTAAAAACTTTACTCATATGAATCGACAGGATGCCTTGGAGTGGGATTTGCAGACAGAGATAGAGCAACAACTATTAGATATCTCTGCCTCTCTTCCAGAAGATCACAAAAATGCTTTCACAACACACTCCTCTCCTGAGGCTCCAACAACTTTAGTTCCCATTAGGGAGGGACAGGTCAAGAATCTCACAAACAAGAGTGCCAACAACTTTACACCTAGACGATGTTTTTTAACAGCACAGACTGTACTCTCTACCTTTGACTATCTAACACCAATAGACAACTACTTGGATTCTTTAAAAAATCTTTTTTAAATTTTAAATTATTTTGGGGCTATTACTCAGAAACAATTAGACAAACTGTCTGCACTTACGGAGGAATAAACTAACACTAGGAGAGAGCAGCCTGCATTCAATAGCAAAAAACACTCAAACTCCAACTGTAACACCAATAGGAGAGAGGACTGTCTGTTACTGTGTGATAAGAAGAGGGAGAGGGGAATTGGGAAGGGTGATGACTTATTATGAATATGTTCTAGTGTGTGTGTATGTGTATGTGTGTGTGTGTGTGTAACCTGTATCCTTGTATTGGGTTTATACTTCTGATATGGTCAGATGAGTAAATAATTAAGTTTCTGTTCTGTTCAGATAAAAATGAATTGGTGATTTTGGGAATTATTGATTTAAAAGGTTCGTTTAGGAGAAGAAGGAAACCATGATATGGAGTTTGGAAGGATGGAAATGGCAATTTCTATGTTTGCAACTGCTGCAAAGAAGATTGGAAGTCACTTCTTTAATATCTTTCTTTTCCTCTTTCTTTTTCTTTTGCTATTTTTCACTTTTTTCTTTTTTCTTTCATATTTCTTCCTTTTTTCTATTTTTCCTTTTATGTTTCCATCATTTTTTAATCTTATGTAAATTTTTATTTTAATAAAAATTATGAAAAGAAAAGAAAAGAAAAGAAAAGGCAACATAGACTATAGACTGCAAGTATCATCAGTTTCAGTTTGAATGGCCAGAAATAATGAAGTATGGGCAATGTAGTCTAGAGCTGTAGAAGGCAGTGAACTGGCCTTGAGAGCCAGGTGGAAGAGCCACTACCAAGACAATGGTCAGATAAAAGAGGACTGAGTCCATGGCAGGACTGTAATGTATGCAAATGTCTCAGACAAGACCTCCCTAATTCTCAAAAATATAAAGTGAAGGAAGGGAGAAGCACATTCAGACTTGCAAGGTTTTGTTACTATAGCTTTACAATAAAGTAGTACTGACCTATATCACATTGTATCCTAATCTGATCTACCTTGAAGGGCTCACAAATACAGGAGAAGCATAAGGTTTCTTCTTATCCTTGCAATTCCTTGGAAAGCACTTATCATAACCTCTCCTTGAGTCTCTGCCTTCTTCCAACATGTAGATCTGAAATCTCGATTTCCTACTAGCCCAAACTCAAAACTCTTCCAGCATAAAAGAGCTTTGCTGCCTGCTTAGTTTCCTTACATGATACAAACAGCAGTGGGCTGCCCAAGAAGAAGGTTTCTTATCCTGCCCCACAACACTGCCAGGATTCCCACAATGAACAGTAGGTCTTTTGAGGTCAAGGAGAAATAGCAGCATCTCCTTTAAGCTGCCCTTTTTCCAATAAAGACCATCAATCAGAGTCGCAAGGCTGATAATCTGCAAACTCAGAGGGTTATACAGGAGCAGAAAAATAATAAAACCCACAAACAAGCAGACTCAACTACCTGGTGAAATGATGTT